ATGGCCTTAGCTGAAGTCAGATGCTTAACCTACTGAGCCACCCAGGTATCCCTCTCTACTTTTTTTTTTTATCTGTTTATTTTTGAGAGAGAGAGAGAAAGGGAGAGAGGGAGAGAGTGCATGCATATGTGTGCAAGCAGGGGAAGGGCAGAGAAAGAGGGAGACAGAGGATATTAAGTGGGCTCTGCACTGACAGCAAAGAGCCCGAGGCAGGGCTTGAATTCACAAACTGTGAGATCATGATCTAAGCCAAAGTCAGATGCATAACTGACTGAGCCACCCAGATACCCCAGGTATCTCTCTACTTTTAAGCTTATTTTTGTTCTTATTTGATAAACATGTTATAAAGTCAGTTAGGCAGTGTCAATACTAAGAATGTACTTTAAAATAGACTGAAAATAAGATTATTCAAGCACATTTTAACACACAATATAAAGAGCTTATTATCCCATCATGCACATAAACTAAGAGAATTTGACAGTAACAAGTATGCAATTTAGCTTCAGCATGAAGGATAATATAATTTTGACAAAAGACAGTTTCCTATTGTCTTTTCCACACATGCACTTATTTCTATGTAAAAATGTGGTAAAAAGAGCCCTGAACAAGATAGAATCTCATCCAGAGGTTATAAAGAAGCCACCACCAGCTTTCACTGGATGATGCAATCTTTTAAAACAATATTTGAATACCTTTAGGTGGAGCAAGCACACTGCTGCCCCCACCACTCCTACTCAAACTGTCACTGGGCCCTAAAGACATTCCAATTTGAAAGCCGTGTCCTAGTCACGTCTTTAACTTGATTGCCTATTAAGTGGGGATTCCTTCTGTTCTATCTGTTGCACAGGGATATTAGGAAGTAAAATAATCTATTATATATCAAACAATAAAAACTCTGGGTGAGAAGATGGTACAAAAGATTAAGCAAAGAGACTGTCTAAATTAACTGTTAATCAGTATACTTAAATTTTGGCACCAAGAGCAAGAACAGAATGATTAAAACACAGGTTGATTCAAAATGTCATTTGCACAATTAAATTTCTATCTTTTCTTCTCTAAATTTTAATCAAATCCAATAGCAAAAGGACCCAACACTTACTTCACATCTGCCACCTTTTGCCCCTTGGGTAGAGTTGAAGGTAATAATAAAATGGCCAAGAGGGGAAACAGGGGAGCAGGGAGAAAGATTACATGAATAATCTTCCAGGTTCCCAAATAATCTAAAGGAGAGATGAAAAGAAGTACGTGACTACCAAAAAAAAAAAAAAAAAAAAAAAAAGATCTTTGTCTTGGAGCAGACTGTAAATAAATATGGATATCTTTGTCCCACTAATGGGTACTAGAAACATAATTTCTTTTATCTTTTCTACCTACACTAGATGGATGGTAAAAAGTTTGGTAAAGGATAAAATTAACATAGATTTTAAAAATTCACGCCAATCATTACTGTATATCAACTCTAATACTCTAAGAAGATATAACAGTAGATTTTAGCATTACACCTGCCCTCAGGGATATTATCCTTAAAGACACAAAAAATGAGAGAAGACAGTAGAAAAACATTTGAGCAGAACACAATCATGTATCCTACTATTGCAGTTAATCCCAGAGCTCAGTGCCTAAAAAGCCCACATACTTGGAATCTTTACTTCATTAAATTCAATAGGTTGCTCTCTGAATGCAAACTTTCTTTTTAAACACAGTTCGAGTCTAAAGTCTGTCAACCTTGAGTATTTTTCTTTCAATTTTCCACCTCCAGGGAAATCTGACAAAAGCATTATTTGCTATGCTTAACAGTTAAGGGATGAGTCAAGCTTTCCCTAGAGATCTGAACCTCTGGTAATGATTTCCTCCCCAACTTTATCGTATTATTTTTATTGCATGTCTCACATTCAAAATGTCTATTTTATGCCCTCCACTGTGGATATCTAGATGAATAATGCACAATTCCTACCTTAAAGTAATTCACAAAAAAGACACAGGCATAGTTTTAACATAGCTGAATATGACAGACAAGTGCAAAGTATCAGTGGGATGTAAGAAGGGCACGTATCAGGAAATGACAAGCTGTCACTAAGATTAGAAGGGTACATTATCAGTTTGCTCCATTGTTGGTGATGCTAAGTTTGATCATTTGAGGAAGAGGACAGCTGCCTGAGTTTTCACTGTAAAAATATGTCTTTTTATAAACCTGGTGGGGAAGGAAGGTATAGAATTTCTGGATAAAATGGGATCTAGCTAGACAAAGCAGAGAAGAAGGGGTGAGAACATTAGGCAGAAGGGAGAGCAAAGGGCCAAGCTGAGAAAAACTAGAGCATGGCCCTGGAGAAATAAGCAGTCCAGAGTGTGATGCGTCTCTGAAGTCGGCCAGGAAGATTGTCAAGGGCCTTGAAAACTGGTTTTAAGGAGATTGTTTTATCATCTACGGTGGTATTCTCCAAAGCATGGTATGCCTTGGGATGCTGGAGAAATTTTAATTGTCTTTTAAAATGTCTATACTTTTGTGTACATTTCATAAAGTGACATTATTATAGGTCTATGACCCATTAACTGAAATCAGGACCTTGAGAGAATGACTGGGGTTCGGGGAGAGAATGAAAAGCTGTTTTCCTTACTAAGTACTGAAAAGCACCCAGGAGAAGCTGTTCAGCAGATGGCTGTATCTAAAACTGCAGATCTGGGGAGGGGCCTTTGCCTGGACATGTAGACTGGGGACAACCACTGAAAATATGAAAGAAAAGAGCAGTGGACCAATTGCTGAACTCTGGGAAACACTAACATTTACAATAATGTGATTACTTTTTTTTCAAAAGGAAAATTAAGAGCACAAAGCAGTGTTTGCATTTTTTATTTAAAAACTTATGGGGCGGCTCAGTTGGTTAAGCGTCTGACTTCGGCTCAGGTCATGATCTCGGGTTCGTGGGTTTGAGCCCTGCATTGGGCTCTATGCTCACAGCTAGCTCAGAGCTTGGAGCCTGCTTCAGATTGTGTCTCCCTCTCTCTCTGACCCTCCCCTGCTCATGCCCTCTCTCTCTCAGAAAAAAAAGAAAAACATTAAAAAAATTAAAAAACAACCAAAAAACCTTAGAGCTCCCAAATATTAACAGCTGGCCCTTAAATATTTTATCTGAGAGAAGGGGGTGGAGTAGAGACAGAGAGAGAGAGAATTCCAAGCAAGCTCTGCATTGTCAGCATGGAGCCTGAGTGGGGCTTGAACTCATGAACCATGAAATCATGACTTGAGCTAAAACCAAGAGCCAGAAGCTCAACCAACTGAGTCACCCAGGCACCCCAGTAACAGCTGGTTCTTACTATTTTCATTAATGTATGAAAATAAGACTCAGTCTACCATGAAGGGGGGAAAAAAAGGGTTTCTGTTAGTAACCCAGCAGTGATTCAGAATGAGATTGTATTTTGTTACCATTTTGGGGGCGGTAGTCAAGAAAGATTTTAAAAGTAGACTATGAAACTCAGACCTGATCATAGTGCTGGGCCAGAAAAAATACAAAGTGAGCCTGGAATGCCTTGTGTCAAAAAGAAAACGTTTCAAGACTGAAAGGGACTATCAATAGCACAGAATGGAACTGGCCTAGAAGGGGTTCTCCCTTATCAAATTTGGGATGATTTGGGTGTCATAAATACTGAATTTTAACACACTGAATATAAAAAGAAACTTTGACTCCGGTAATATTCAAAATATGACAGAAGGAAAAATGGAAAGCTGCTCCTCACAAAAAAATGTGAGCTAAAAAAATGTAGAATGAGGGTGCAATTAGAAAATCCCCATGTTATAAGTCCCATTTAATAACTGACTCAGACTGATAATCATTAGTGGATGTTAAAACCATTAGCTTACTAGTATAACACTCTATGTTAACTACACTGGAATTAAAATTAAAATAAAAAAGTAAACAATAAAACCCACACCAAACCATTGGATATTCACATAGCCTCACAGTCTCCATCTTAAATGAAAAAGTATCTTACGATAGAAAAATAAGACAGATAGGACTTTAGCCAAATTTAGCTTCACCAATGATGGGACAACCGACAGCATGTGACTCCTGATGTTATACAAATGGGAGGTACATATCATCCAGGCAATATTGTTTAATTTAAATCTTATCATGAGGAAACAGTCAAGAAAATTCCTGAATGTAGTATGTTGTGTAAGTTAACAAGCCTGTACTCTTCCAAAATGTATCAGGAAAAGACTTTAAAAAAAAAAGGGCAGGGAACTGCTAGAAAAGAATGAAAGGAAGGAGACCAAACCCAGTACATGAACTGTGCCTAAGTTCACAATAAAAACAAAACAAAAACATATAAAGATATATGGATATGTTGGGAGCAAGTGGGAAGTAGGGATTGTATATTAAATATTACTGAATCAATGTTAATAAATCTATTGGGTGTGTGATAATAGTATGGTGGTTATGTTTAAAAAAAAAAGTCCTTGTTCTTAGGAGATACATGGTGATACAGCCAGTGGTAAAGAGGCATCAGGATGACTGAAATTTATTTTCAAAGGGATCAGTAAAAAACAAAGACAGACCAGAAAAAAGAAAAAGATAAATACACAGAGAGAAGATAAAGCAAAAGTAACAAAATATATACAGTTGGTAAATTAGAGAAACAGGTATTCATTGTACTGCTACCAGTTTTTCTGCAGTTTTAAAACTTTTCAAAATTAAAGTCAGGAGAACATCAAGTAATCAATGTGTGGCTAATATGCTACAATTGATTTTACTTGGACAAATATATTCCTCATAAACTACTTAATACTTTTTAAAAAGGCCACCACAAAATCCCTTCCCATCAAAGCTAACCAAGCTAAGAGGCTGGCTAACATTACCTCTGGTTAGGGTCAGCAACATAATTTATTTTTGTGTTTTTCCTCATGAATGTAGGATCACTTACCTGTGAAGTGAACAAATCAGCAAAACACCTCTAACATTTAGTCACCTCACCAAAAACAATTTAACAGTGGAAAAGCTATAATCTTCTGGTTTTAAAATAATTTATTTCATAGTCTGTTTTAATTTCAGGTCTCAGAGCATACATTATTTAATCAAGAGGTGCTGGACAGAGATTGTAAAAAGGGAGGAAACATTTAGGATAAGAAACTGCCTCAGTTTCATTAGGATTTAATCCTACCTTGTAATGTCTTGCTAGGATAAATTTCTATCATACTTCTTTTGTGCTTACAAAAAACATTAACTTCTGAATTTCCAATGTTGTAAATAAAAAGTTTTACAATTAAGTATGCATTCATTTGACACACAAGGCAACCAAATAATTGTCATCAACATTAGCATAATGTGTATTTCCTGTCACTGCACTAACATTAAACTAAACTTCAAACCACAAAAACATTGTGACTAACATTAAAAAGGCAAGCTGTAAGTTACTCAAAGCTTATAAAGGACAAATTGCACATGGTTAAGATGGGACATCATTTGACAAGGGCTGGTGTTGTGCATATGGCTGCTTTTTTTTATAAGAAGGCCACCGGCAAACAGGGCAACAGTGTCGGCCTCCAGCCAACCACATCACAATGCAATTCTGATGGAACACATGAGCACAAGGCAACCCCATTAGCAAACATCCATTTTCAAAATTCTCTAGGCAAACAACACATTCAGTACAGTGCAGCATATCAGCAGGCCAAGTTAACCAATCAGGTTCCATATCTTCATTAGCATTATATAATCCGTACGACCTCCCCTTCCTTTCGTATGGGCTGGTCTGACAATATTTATTGGCACATGAACAAGCCTCAGCATCACAGTGACTTGCTCTTCCTGGAGAATTGTGAACTATGCTTTGTTTATCTTCAAATACTTCCTTTTCACTCCTAAAAGTGTCTGTGCTCTCGCTGTCTGAGTCATTTTCAATATCTTGAGAACCCTCCGACATTTCCTCTTCAGACTGGACTCCAAGACATTTAAATCGCCACACTGGCAAATTTTTAATGTAATCAGTCGGTATCAGAGGGTGAAGCCAAAGGTCAGGGAAAGCTAACCGCTCCAAGAATAAGTCAGGGTCTTCGTCCCAATCAGATTCTATAGGAAAGTTCTGAAAAGAAGCAATCGGGTGGAAGAGGTAGCTGGTGTACCAGTCCCACAGACTTGATAACCATTCTAAGTTATTGGCATTGACTTCATCATTGTTGTTGTTGCGCCGTCTCTTCTTCTCAAAGTAATCAATTAGTAAACCATGTCCAAGGTAAGTACTGAGAAATAGGGCCGGGTGGGAAGAATAGAACATCCAGTCTGCCCTTACCCATGATGCAAGTGTGGTTGTGTTGGAATATCGCAACAATTTTAAGCTATATTCATAAAAGCTATCTAGGTAAGGGAGCTGTAAAAAGCCCAACACAGGTAGCCAGGAAATAATTAATAGAGAATTGTATGTCCCTAAAGTGCTTATGAGAACCACAAATCGCTTTATGGTTGCTCCTTGTGTGATAAATAAGTCCATCCATGCCATAAGATTAACCAGAACCAAGCTCAAAACAAACAGATCATTTACTTCAGGTTGTAATGAGCGCAAAAATGCATCCATGGCCTGAAGGGATATAAATTCACCTGTGTGGTTTCCGTATCTGTAAATTCCTTCAGGAGTTCTAAGAATGTAGGATGGCATGTTATATACACCAATATCTGTCATAAAGCTCTTGTTGTCCCAATTTTCCACATTAACAAAAATAAACTCAACTCTTCCAGTAAACTTTATACTTAGTGCAGAGAAGAAAGCTGGGGGTTGGTCAAGGTTTGCAAATAGGTATATTTTTATCCAATATTGATCGCTTTTATTCCATTCTTCTTTCAAATGTTCAGCATTATAAATGGTTTTGATCCGAGAAGCTGCATGAGCAGTGATCCACTTAAAAATGTGCTCCACTTCAATCTTGCGCCCGCTGTATTCTTTAAGCATGACTTTCCCTTTAGAAGTGCTTGTTTGTGGGACAGACATAATGAGTGTGGATCGTACCCAGCCTCTTCTCCTGCAGTATCTGTAAGAGAGTAAGCCGGAAGTAAAAACCAGGCTGGTAGATGAGCTAGCATGTTCATCTTCACTGTTGTGCACTTTGTTTCCCCCCAACAAATCTCTTTAGCACTTGAAAGGTACTCTCTCCCCAAAACCAAATAACCTCCAAATAATCAAAAGTAATCCCAATACCTGGCAGTTGTACAAGAACAAAAGCAAGCTCTCTTTTTGTTGTTTTTATTGTGCTTGTTTGTTTTTGCTTCATATCTCTGTATTTCTATTTTTTTGAAGAATAGCCTTAAGTCAGGGAAATCAGAAAATACTTCAGCATCTATTATGTACATAATATACTGCCTTATGTGCTTACAAGATCCAAAGATAATAGGAAAATAATTCCTGCTCACAGAAAATTTAAAATACTATTAAGGAGACAAAACAGAAGTATAAAGCTATAGCTATTCAATTACTAAATAATGTAGAAGTTGAAAAAAGAAAAAAGAAATATCACTGAGAGTTTGATCTGGTGAAGATTTCATGAAAGGTTTGGGAACTGAATGAGGTCTTAAAGGTGGTTAGATTTACATGGGCAATGAGAGAACAGGTTCCCCTACATGCCACATCCCTGACTTGAAGGCAAGCTGCTTAAGGGGAGGAGCCATGTTGTGCCTTATTAACTCAAGCCCCCACCAATAGGCAATAGTAGCAGTGCCCCACACAGGCACTGCTACAAAGTAATCCATACGAAAGCTCACTTAAGAAAGAGCAAGTCCCATACTTTTTTGTATTCTCTCATTTCTTTAATGAAAACCATGGGGAAGAGTATTTAGTACAGATGAAACAAAGTTAAATTTTCAGATTAAGAAGAGATTCAGTTCAAGGATGAGTAAGCATAGAAGAATTTAACTAAAATTAAGTCACTTGTTTAGATTTATCCTGTGTGGTCACAACTCCATTCCTTTTGGAAATGGACAAGTTCTTGCTATACTACTTGTGACATCCCTCTCCCCCTAAAAATCTAGATGAGGAATAAAAGGAGATACTGGATAAATAAAAACAGCTGTTGTAGGACAGTGGAGAAATGATAAGTGAAACGTTTTCCTTTTTTAAAAAAAGTATTTTCCAAAGACCTACCGTGTGGAATTTCATGATATGTAAATTTACCTCAGTAAGGTTGGAAAAAAGAAAATCTACTATGCAGATAATTTGCTCATTATAGATTTGTAATTGGATGGCAATAAATATTCAATTTCTTATTTTGCTATTCAAAATGTTGATATAAAAATTGTAAGTGTTATGCTTTAGTTAGTAAGCATGGATTATATTTTATTTAAACAAGCATACTACACATTTATATGATCAGACTGAAAGTCTTAACATATGTCATAAAGTTTTATAATGATAATAATTAATTGTATCTCAGGAATTTTGTGATATAACTTAAGATACATGAAGACAGCATGTTATGTCATAAAGACAAGGTTAAGTAATGACTCTGAGAAACTGTCTGGGTGACTCAGAATCACAGACCCTGATTCAGCTTCTTGTTGAGTTGATATACTTCCTTAACAAGATAGATTCCATTAATATCGATATTTTTTTCTTTTTTAAAAAAGAATATAAAAAAATAAAGAATAAAAAGTAAGAAAAGAGAGAGGAGTGATAAGAGAGAGAGGAGAGAGGGAGAGAGAAGGAGGGAGAGGGAGAGGGAGGGAGGGAGGGGGAGGGAGAGAGGGAGAGAGAGAGAGAGAGAGAGAGAGGGAGAGAGAGAGAGAGAGAGAGAGAGAGAGAGAGAGAGAGAGAGAGAATCTCAAGCAGGCTCTGCACTGTCAGCACAGAGTCCAATGCAAGGCTTGAACTCATGTCGGCTGCTGAACCAACTGAGCCACCCAGATGCCCCAATAGCAACACTGCTTTAAGTGAAATTGATTGAGAATTATCAATTCCTGCAAAGAAAATATCTTGTTCCCTTAACACTGTATTTGTATAATGCAAGTAATTCATTGACATAAATTCTGTTTTTACCCTGTGCCTTCAGAAGCAACAAGTCAAATAGGTAATTGCCTTATTTACATCTTAAAAAGCTTTAAGTAGCTTTAATTTTTAAATTTCAAAGGATACTTGTGTTGACACATTTCTACTCTTGCTATCCTTTCAATCTTTCTATAACTACCTCAGAGAATACTGGCTTCTGAGTAGTGCCATAAAATGACAATCTTTCTGACAGAAAAGCAAAACAGTCAAAGAAAGTCTTAGTGTATACATTTCTCCATATAAGAAAACAAATGTATTCTGTGCTTTCTTTTCAGTTTAGAATTAAGTGATAGCTTTAACGATTATCTTTCCAGATAGAATTTAAGAGTACCAAGGAGGGGCGCCTGGGTGGCTTAGTCGGTTAAGCGTCCGACTTTCGCTTGGGTCATGATCTCGCGGTTTGTGGGTTCGAGCCCCGCGTTGGGCTCTGTGCTGACTGCCAGCTCAGAGCCTGGAGCCTGTTTCAGTCTGTGACTCCCTCTCTCTCTGACCCTCCCCTGCTCACGCTGTCTCTCTCTCTCTCCTAGAAATAAATAAAAAATATTTAAAAAAAAAAAAAAGAGTACCAAGGAAAAGAAAAAGCTGTATGTCATCATATACCTTTTGAATTCTATCAGGTTTTCCAGATGTAAAAAAAAAACTCTAATACTTATTTTTATTAAAATTTTCAAACGTTTATTCATTTTTGAGAAACAGAGGGATAGAGCATGAGTGGGGAAGAGGCAGAGAGAGAGGGAGACCCAGAATCCAAAGCAGGCTCCAGGGTCTGAGCTGTCAGCACAGAGCCTGACATGGGGCTCAAACCCACGAACCCTGAGATCATAACCTGAGCTGAAGTCGGTCGCTTAACCGACGAAGCCACCCAGGCGCCCTAAAACTCTATACTTATAAACACTAGGTTAGTTACATTCATCTAAACACTGGTCTGAAGAAGTCCAACAAACAAAAGTATATCGTATCAATTTTAAAACTCCACAGCTAAACAGAAATAAAGACTAATGTACATATTATTTTTTAAAAATAACTTCACATTACCTTATACTGATATAAAAACTTTTACTGACAATTCAAAAAAATACTTTTATAAAGATTCGAATAAATTCAATGACAATACCATGAAAATAACCTCTAGGTTTTTGGTGTGTTTTTTTTTTTTTAATGTTTATTTAATTTTGAGAGAGACAGACCAAGAGTAGGGGAGGAGCAGAGAGAGAGGGAGACACAGAAGCCGAAGTAGGCTTCAGGCTCTGAGTTGTCAGCATAGAGCCGGACATGGGACAAAAACCCACGACTGCAAGATCATGACCTGAGCCAAAGTTGGATGCTTATCCGACTGAGCCACCCAGGCGCCCCTAATAACCTCTCGTTCTTAAATTAGTAAACCTTTTGAGATCTCTTAGAGACTTTGAAGATTAAAAATGATAGAAAGCACAGGGCATCCGGGTGGTTAAGTCAGTTAAGTGTCCGACTTTGTATCAGGTCATGATCTCGTGGTTTGTGAGTTTGAGCCCCACATTGGGCTCTATGCTGACAGCTCAGAGCCTGGAGCTTGTTTTGGATTCTGTCTCCCTCTCTGTCTACCCCTCCCCTGTGCTCGTGGAGGAGGCTGCCCTGGGAGCCACACCAGAGAAAGAACTCCAGTAAAGAAAGCAAAATAAACAGTGGAGTAGAGAGTTTGGTGTTTACTTAATAAATCTGAAATTAAGATGATGACTCAATTATTCAACACTTGCTAAATAATACTATTCCTTGCCCTGTTATACCCTGCATTGACATTTTTTTTTTTAAGTTTATTTCTTTAGAGAGAGAGGGAGAGAAAATAAGCAGGGGAAGGGCAAACAGAGAGGGGGAGAAAGGATCTGAAGTGGGCCCTGCACTGACAACTGACAGCTCAGAGCCCAATGCAGGGCTCAAACTCACAAACCATGAGATCATGACCTGAGCCGAAACCTAGGAATGCTTAACAGACTGAACCACCCAAGTACGCCACCCTACACTGACATTCTGAATACACGTTTCTAGATCTCCCTGTTTTGTTCTTCTATATCTCCAAAATCCTCAAAAACAGAAAAAAACAACCCTAAGCACAGCTTCTATGGCAATAGTTCTTATTCTAGTTGTAAGATTTTCCCAATAAAAGCTAACATGAATAGGACATATCAAAACTGATATAAGTAACTATGCATCAAAATCCTCATCTTGTGATGAAACCAAAGATGAAGTAAAAGTGCTTTTCTGATAACAAAAAATAGTAGCTGCAATCAACAAAGAGCAAAATTTGCTCAAAAAAAGATCTGTTCCACCATAAATAAGAGGTGAGATTATTTTTTTACATTTTTTAAATGTTTATTTGCGGGGCAGGGGGAGGCAGGGGCATAGAGAGGAGACAGAGAATCCCAAATAGGCTCTGTACTGTCAGCACAGAGCCCAATACAGGGCTCAAGCCCACGAACTGTGAGACCATAACCTGAGCTGAAATCAAGAGTCAGAAACTCAACCAACTGAACCAACCAGGAGCCCAAAGAGGTGAGATCATTCATTCATTCATTCATTTTTAATGTTTTATTTATTTCTGAGAGAGAGAGGGAGAGAGAGAGAGAGAGACAGTGTGAGCAGGGGAGGGTGAGAGAGAGAGAGAGAGGGAGATACAGAATCTGAAGCAGGCTCCAGGCTCTGAGCTAGCTGTCAGCACAGAGCTCAAACCCACAATCTGTGAGATCACGACCTGAGCCGAAGTTGGATGCTTAACCGACTGAGCCACCCAGGCGTCCCAAGGTGAGATTATTTAAAGATGAAAGATATAGAGGAAAATATACAAAGGGAGCTTACATGTATCTCTTCATCATTCCTCACCTAGTACAGAATCAAAAAGAAAAGCTAGAAAAATGTGTATTAAAATCTGCTTGACTCAATTATCATTTGAAATGATAAAATGCATTTTTAATGCATTTTGTTTTATAAGACTACACCAAAAAAAGTCCAACACTGCTATTTCCTTCAGTTTTTCATATTAAATAGATTACCTTTGTTTTCTGTTGTGCTTAGCTTGTTTTGGAATTCTTTATTAATGTTATGTAACAATTCATAAATGTGTTTAACCTTTATATTTTTGTAAACTTATTTTTACTTGATATTTTCTAATATGTTTATAAGTTACAGTGTTGAAACACATTAATTAGCTCACTGATGTTTTACAAAATCCATTCTGAATTATTTTTCAATAAAATAGTGATGATAATACTGACTTTTGGCATTATCTGAAAAAAAATTGGCACTATCACTTGTTTTGGTATTGCAATCACCAGTGAGGGTGAGAAAGATCTTTCACCCACACTCTATTTGGGAATGATGGAATCAGACAAATGCAACGGTCATTGACAAATGAAGGATAAAAATAACAATGATTTCCTTTTCATTAAAACATTAACACTAAGGCTGCTTTGGACATTTCAACAAAAGGTGTTAACATGTGGTGAAGATGAGAATGCAGAGCTTTGTGGGAAGACGGGGAGACTGTGAGTTAGAAGATACAAGAACTTTCCTTCTTATCTCCAACTCCCAGGGGATTCTACACCTTACAGGGTGGATCACATCCGATAATTCCAGTAAGCAAAACAATCTTGAGGCAAACTGAAGCAAACATAAGCCTAAAGGAGAAAAGGCTGGAAAAAATGAGGTACAACAGTAGCACAGAAGGGCTTTCCATAGCTAATGGGCTTCCCATTGGGGCCACATATCAGTAAGTAACACGGTCAGCTGTATTACTTACATTAGAAACTACGTGATGTTGTGGGGTTTTCTACATATATATCATACACCCTCTTCTCCACAGCACTAAATAGACATGGTATACATGCTAATCTTTTACTACATATTTACTGAATGAATAATTAAATGAATACTTGTAAGTAAAACTTGATGGCACTAGAAGTGGAAAAAAAAAGTACTTCAGGGGCGCCTGGGCGGCTCAGTCAGTTGAGCATCCGACATGGGCTCAGGTCATGATCTCACGGTTTCTGAGTTCGAGCCCTGCATCGGGCTCTGTTCTGTCAGTGCAGAGGCCCCTTCAGATCCCTCTAGCCCCCTCTCTGTCCCTCTCCTGCTCCCACTCTCAAAAATAAAAATAAATAAATAAATAGAAATAAAAACTTAAAAAGCATTTCAAAGAAATAATGTTATAATGAAACAAGAAATAACAAGACAGATGAAATAGTGGAGATGATGACAAAAGAACACAAAAATGCCTCCAAGGATTCTTGTCTGAGAAAATGGGAGAAACAAAAGGCAAAACAGTAAAAAACAGAAAAAGGATGGGTAGAAAAGGGTACACACTTGGTTTAAAAAAATGAAACTGAATCTGAATTTGGCCACTGGGTTTAGGGAAAAGGGCATATCTAGGAGCAGCTGTACAGCAGATGGAAATGAGTGTCCACATGTAAACTAGAAGTCAGAACTGTAACAAAAGATTTCTGTCAGCACAAAGTTATAATGTGCTGAAGTCTCTTTGGGAAGAAAATTGAAACAAAAGGACTGAAGACATGTTCTTAAGAGTCATTCCCACTAGAAAGAATACAGAAGAATGGGATAGAGAAAGAAAGCAGCTCAGAAAGAAACTGCCAGTTTATCAAAAACTATTTATCAAGAGCCTGTTTAACTCAAGCGTCCTAAACATAATTATCTTTCAGTTCAAATAGGCTTTATCATTGTCGTTATTAAGTAAGACAATTCTGGTCAGAACTCAAATTCTAAGAATTGCCTAGTCAACTCACCTGGGGTCACTGGAACAATTAAAAGTGCCTGTACGTATTCCAAATCTCGACACCTTTTTCACCATTTTCTCCCAGTGGATTTTACCGACCAAGGGACTTCTGTCATTTGCTATGACCTATTCTCCCAGAAAGAAAAACAGAAACTTTAATTACCTAAAATGAAGTCAAACCAATCACTTATATCAATAATATATCTTCACCTTTTGCAAAAAGATTCTGTTCTATCATCATTGCAATTCTTGAAGAAATAAGTGTCCAGCTGAAAAGGCTTAGAACATTGAGTACAGTGCATTAAACTTCCACACTTTGTGGCAGTTACACTGAGGGGGAATCAAAACCATATTAAAAAGCTAGCCACATCCTCCATCCTGATTCTTTAGAATTAAGTTACACAGGAAGAAAATGGCCCTTGGAGTCATTTCTCCACTATGAAAATTTTAAACAATAATCCAAATAAAGCTTACTAGAAATTATCACATGTGAGTTCGATGAGTTCAAATTTCACTTTTTAAAAGTCTAATTATGGAGCCAAGAGTCAAACATATATTTTCTATTAAACTATGCTTTGATTAAATCAATACTGCCACCTCTACAGCTTTTTCTTAACAATCACAAAAGGTTCTAATATATAAAAAGTACCACAATGAATTCTACACTCTGGAACTTCTATTTCAAATCTGCAAATAGCTTTCAAACACAATTAAGATTGGAAGAAGTAAAAGATTTTTTTAAAAAAAATAAAAGGAAGTAAAAGGAAAAATTGTAAATTAACCTTCAAAATGTGTAACGACTTCTTTCTCAGCTTTTCTAATCGTTAATGCCTTTTCCTTTTATTCCCTAACCTTCCTGTTTTGAAGGAAGGCAAGACTTCAACAGAGATACTGATAAAAAATGAATTATATATTTAAAAAAGAAACACAAAAACAACTAAATGGGAACTTAAACGAAAGCCAAAAATGTCTAAAGTCTTCATGAACCATCTGTTTGATTTATTTTAAGCCCAGGGTATATAGGCCAAGTTTATTTTCACAAATGCTATGCAGCCGATGTTATCTAACTGAAAATTACAACACAATACTCTGGGGTCCTTTCTGGGAGGAAGGACCATTTTCATGTCCACAAAGCCTCCAGGAAGTGAAATCCCAGGTATGTGTGTGAAATGAGTGCCGATAGTCTACTCCCTGGGAGATGCAAGAGTGGTGCAGCTACCTCATGGTGGCCTCTCTGTTGGGAAGTCTAACAAATTTCAAGGGCAGCAGGAAGAGAGAGAGCACACAGTGGTAACTAGTGACTTGAAATTCACTTTTTGAAATTCACTTTTTGCGCAGACAGAACACTGTCTACTAATCCCTGCCATATACCATTGCTACTATCATCCCCACATCTACAGAGACATATATCTGGTACCTAATATTTTGTAACAACTTTCATGCTTAATAAATACACAAACGCATACACAATTTAGGGCATTAAAGCAAATGGTTTTGATAGTGCTTTTCAGTGAAAATGGATGGTCTTATTGAAGGAGACATTTATTATTTAAATGCTCAGGGGCGCCTGGGTGGCTTAGTCGGTTGAGCGTCCGACTTTCGCTTAGGTCATGATCTTGCGGTTCGTGGGTTCGAGCCCCGCGTGGGGCTCTGTGCTGACTGCCTATTTCAGAGTCTGTGTCTCCCTCTCTCTCTGACCCTCCCCTGTTCACGCTGTCTATCTCTCTCTCTCCTAGAAATAAATAAAAATTTAAAAAAATAAATAAATAAAAATAAATAAATAAATGCTCAGATGGTTGAGGTAACCAGGAAAAGGGCAATCTGAGGACATGAAAGCTCTTTCTGAGGTTCATACGTTACCCAGCTAAGTCTCTAGCTTTCACATTTTTTCCATGGTCAAAAAGGGCTGGATCTATTTTACCTGAATAATCAGGAAGATAAAGCAAGGCAGGTAGTTTTCTTTTTTTTCCCTACTACTCAAGAGTAAATATGGTAGGTGCACTTGGTTGGGCACTCAACTCTTGATCTCAGCTCAGGTCATGATCTCACAGATTCATGAGTTTGAGCTCTACATAGGGCTCTGTGCTGACAGCGCAGAAACTGTTTGGGATTCTCTCTCTCTCCCTGTCTGCCCCTCTCCCATGCTTGTGTGCACGCTCTCTCTTTCAAAATAAACATTTTTTTTTAAAAGAGTCAATATGGTAGTTCTTCTTTCCATCAAGTAATCAAAGACATTTTGCATTTATTTTCCAGATTACAGAGAAGGATTAAGAATTCTCTGTGGATTCACATTACTGTACTCCCTACTTTTTAAAAGAACTCTTTCCTAAATAGAGCTTCCTTTTCACTCCCATTTCCTGATCAAGGCTGTAAATAACCCAAACATTTCAGGTCAGTGTTTATAATGACATTGCATCAAGGGGTTATAAGGTTGCTTTAGTCATTGTAAGGTATGGCCCTAAGTCTAGGGGCATTCTTCAGTGAAGATCTTGTCCACCACACAGGTATCTTTTAGACTTACAAGAGCTCCAATTCTAGGAAAGGAACTAGGCAGTTGTTGGCAGGCACCCCTGGTTACAGCACAGACAACACAAGTCTATGATCAGAGGTGGGAACATCTAAGCAGGTATGTGACAGTGTTTAACCCCAGGGCCTTATTTACTCAGCAAGCTGTTCCAACACTGGCTTTTGAAGAGTTTAATGATCCCTAACAGAGAGAGCCACACAAAAATGAAAACTCCTCTAGGCATTCATTGTGTGAAAGCATTTTGTTGGACTCTGCAGTTACATTTATGTAATTAGAAATTGCTCTGTCCAATGCCCTATACGGTTACATTATTCAACTAAAGGTCCAGTATAAATTAAATTTTGTAGAGGTTGAATGAAATCACCACTAAACATTTTAATATCTTCACAAAATAACTCATCGGGCGGAGTCACATGGCACAATCACACATTCTAAGCCTATTACTACTGGGTCACACCAGCAGGAGCTCCCAACTTACAGCTCATATCCAAAAGTATGCACGATGATTCTGAGTGGCACTCACACTGCTGGTCTTATTAAAAGCAGAGACATATTCCTCGGCAGTTCAGGAAGGATGTTGTGTTCTCTATGGGGAATATTTTCAGAAACTAGAAAAAAACTAGATGAAAGTACAGCCTGAGTTCCAAGTCTGGGACAGACTTGGCAGGATAGGCTGGAAGTGAAGGAATCTTTCCCTCCCCCTTCCCAGGGTATCTGCCTCTCTAACTGGCAGCCCTACACTGGCTCACCATTGTATTTCCTGCAGCTACTATAGTGCCTAACTCATTTGGGTACTCATTAAATATTCATGTTGAACTAAACTATTTTTGCTTTTTACAGCTTAGTAACTTCATTCTTCTACTTCTGCCTATACAGGTTCTCTGAAGCCGCCAAGTTTTGACATCTCTTATGAGTCCCTTCCCCAGCAACCCGTCATCTGGAATATTTTCCGGACAAACACTAGCATAAGTAGTACCTTATTATCCAATTACATATCAGTGTTCTTGACCCCACTGAGACATACGGACTTCTAATTCAATGAATTTAAAAATATACTTTTTCCAGAAAAAAACTACCGTAATTTTCCTAGGTGCCACTTCCCTGTCAATAGAGTTCTTCATCTCTCAAGATGCTAACACCAAAACAAACCATCTAACTCAGCTGGGAAAGGTAATCATATACTGAGATTTTTACTGATCTATACATTTTATTTAGTAAACCAAATTGTAAGCCGTTTTATGGCACAGGCTATAGGTTTTTCATCTTTGTGCCCTGAGTGCTAATCATAAGGTTTAGCTGGCACATTAGATTTCAATAAGTATTTGCTAGATGGTTGGATAAATGGATGAAACCAGTGGGTTTGCTGAGAGATGTTTAACAACTAGCTCTCCAAAAGAAAAAGGAAGCTCTGATTTCTATTACTTGCTGATTTCCTTGGTATAAATACTCCCATATGGCCACTTTCAAGTTACCAATGTGTTATCCCTAAACCTGGAGTTGGAAAGAGATGTTAACACTCTTCATGTGCAGTATGAGTTGGCTCCAGCACACCATGCACGGAACTGTGTTGGACAGCATGTGGTGCTAAGTGCACATATTTTTTGATGTTAACCTTGTGTAGTCCAGTTTAACATTGCAAAGAAAACCTGGGGTTCAGTTTACTGTCTATTCCCTTCCACATGTATTATAGGTATTACATTGGTATAAGAAAAAAAAAGCCATACCCTTTTGCCTAATGTTTAGACGTAATCAGAGTATCTGCCATAGATGCCATCACAGCATCTAGACTACATTAAGTAACATAACTCCCCAGAAGAGGAGAGCTGTGCTATATTTTCTGCATTTCTCAACATTTCATTTTATTTTTATTTTTTTAAATTTTTTATTTATTTATTATTTCTAGGAGAGAGAGAGAGAGAGACAGCGTGAGCAGGGGAGGGTCAGAGAGAGAGGGAGTCACAGACTGAAACAGGCTCCAGGCTCTGAGCCGGCAGTCAGCACAGAGCCCGACGCGGGGCTCGAACCCATGAACGTGAGATCATGACCTAAGCGAAAGTCGGACGCTTACCCAACTAAGCCACCCAGGTGCCCCTCAATATTTCATTTTAATAAGGAGCTCCTACTTTCAAAATCATAGACCAACTTTTTTTTTTTAATGTTTATTTTTGAGAGAAAGAGAGATAGAGCACAAGCAGGGGAGGGGCAGAGAGGGAGGGAGACACAGAATCTAAAGCAGGGTCCAGGCTCTGAGCTGTCAGCACAGAGCCTGACACAGGGCTCGAACTCACAAACCACGAGATCACAACTTGAGCTGAAGTTGGATGCTTAACCGACTGAACTACCCAGGGGTCCTGATCATAGACCAACTTAAATAAATATATACAAATTGTATAAAACTATTAAAAGTGGGGACAAGCGATTGGAAAAACAAAACCCAATGGCATTTAATTACTTCTTTGGTATCTTCACTAGCTTTCTTTATGAGTAAACAGAAATAAAAGTTTTCACCAAAACAAAATAAATGATAAAGTGGTTGCCACGTATTTCACCTCTAAAGGTGACTCTAAAGTCAAGAAAGGAATAAATAGGTTAGAATCTCCCTAAACAAAGCTTCATCTAGAAAAAAAAATAAACAAGTTTTATAACAGCTATTAACTCTTTTTAGCCAAACAGGAAATAGAATAACATGATACTTCGGTAAATATTGACCAACGTTTTACTTTAAATCATGTGATGCTTTTCATTGCTACCTCAATTCTAGTGACATTAAATTCCTTATGATGGGGAAAAAGCCAGTAGGGAACAAATATCACAGTCCTTCCTTGAACAAAGGTCAAAAAGGAGAAATTGAAATGTTAAGATAAGGATAAATCAATGAGTCCTGCAGAGCATGCTAACTTTTCCATTTCAGGCTAGCCACTGTGCCATCTGCCTAAGAGTTTTCTGGGGTGGGGGCAGGGGAAGTAACTCTTTAATTTGTGATACTTAGATGATTGGGTGGTGGTAAAATCAAAGAATCCACAACACTAGAAGATCAATAACTAACGAAAGACATGAGCTTAAGTTAGGAACAAAGCAGGAAAACTTAGATTGTTAGAAGTGTTAGGAAAAAAGAGGACTTAGTTGTTCCAGGGGTTATATAATGTGTTACATGTCCCATATGTGTTGTTGCCTGGAAACCTGAAATTAGTTCTTTTCACCTCATATTACATGAAGTGTAATATTCATATTCCATATCAGGATAGATGTGGAAAAGCTTGACATGAAAAGGAGTGTCCTACTATTCTGGTTTAATGTAAGGATAATTCATGAGCACTAACACATTTCAGAACAATTAAGAAAAGAAAGGTATAAAGACCATTAACATGTATCATGCAGCAAATAAAAGCATGAGCTGCACAGAAGACACATTCATAAGGAACACAGGATAAATTAAATAATTTATAGTAATTTATTTTTCTCATGTAGGGTCATTCCACATGTAGTGTCACCAAAAAAGATAATCAACCTAGATTACCAATCCACTACAGAAAAATAATGAACTGAGCAAGTGATGAAATAGGTAAGTAATATACCCATTTATTAAAGTACCATTTTCGGGGCACCTGGGTGGCCTAGTTGGTTAAGCATCAGACTCTTGATTTCACCTCAGCTCATGATCTTACCATCTGTGCAATCCACTTGGGACTCTCCCTTTGTCTCTGCTCTTCACCCACTCATGTGCACTCTCTCTCTCTCAAAATAAACTTAAAAAAAAAATAAACTTTAAAAAAGTCACACTTTCCCTAAATAAGTAAATCCAGACATCCTTTCAATGACATGATATATGAAGCCTAAAGTCCTAATTATCAGTTTTATGACATCTAACTACATTTTTTTCTCAATAAATACAAAAGAAAACCGTAATTCATTGGAGTAAGGAAGGATATTAGAAAAATGGAAGGAAAAGAAAAAACTCTGAAGTGTTTAAATATTTCTTACACAGGCTACCTACAATAAAGGTAATCTGAAGAGGATTGAACTGGCTGGGATCTATGCACTTCTCACAAACTAAAAAAAAAAAAAAAAAAATGACAGAGCCAACTGAAATTGGTCAGCTTCTTTTAAAACAAATAGAAAAGAAATATAATTCAAATTATTAAAACCAGAATTTTTAAGTTATCCTTCACAAGAGATTAGATAAATATGATCTGAGCTAAAAGAATGACAAGCAACCAAGAGAATACTTATCTTGTTCCTAACAGACATTTTCACTTTAAAAAACAAAACAACAACAACAAAACAGCCCCCTTTTAAGAGTTTAAACCAACATCTGTGCTGATGGTTTAGCTTGGTGGCTTTAGAATGCTTGAGGACAGGGTTTCAATCTCAATCTTCTCAATTGTCCTGCACAATTGAGAGACTGTTCTTCTAAGCCAATCCAGTTGACAGATATAAGCCCCTGACTCCAAGTGACATAAGCCAGACATGGGTGGTCAGTGCAAATACTGAAGGTCACTGGAAAAATTAAATGTGTGTCCTACTACCATTAGCACACAGAGAACCATACAAATATATTCCATCTTTCTTAGGAGTCATTTTTCAATCACTAATACCTGTGAGGCTTAAAAAATATTTTCAGAGGAAAATTATTTAGTGATTACAATTTAAATGCTAACCTTCACAATCATTCATTATTTGTTCTTCATTTCATTAAAGTGTCACTTTATCAGAGAATTCTTTGTCATTCTCTGACTCTTTGCCTTGTTTATTTTTCTCCTTAGCATTTTCCACTAGCTTGATGTTGTATTAAATATTTACTTATTTATCGCCTACCTCTCCCAAGTGGAATGTGAGCTGCCTGAGAGAGCAAGGATTAGCCTGCTGTATGTTCCTGGTGTATCTCCAGGGCCTGGCATACAACTAACTGCTAAAGAAACTGTTTCAATTTTGTCATATATTAAGGGATTTTAATCTAGATCTTTTTTTTTTTTAATTTGTGGGGTTTTTTTGTTTTTTGTTTGTTTGTTTGTTTTTTTGAGGTGGAGAGAAGGGCAGAGAGAAGGAGAGTGGAAATCTTAAGCAGACTCCACACCCAGCTCAGGGTCTGAGGCATAAAGCCCAATGTGGGGCTCAAACTCAAAAGGACAAACTCATGACCTGAGCCAAAATCAAGAGTTGGACACTTAACGGACTAAACCACTTAGGTGCCCCAATCCACGGTTACATTTAATAGAACATTAAAAAATAGGGGCACTGGGTGGCTCAGTTGGTTAAGCATCTGTTGATTTTGACTCAGGTCATGATTTCAGGGTTAGGAGATCAAGCTTTGCATTGGGCTCCACAGTAACAGGGCAGAACCTGGTTGTGATTGTCTCTCTCTCAAAAATAAACAAACTTAAAAAAGAAAATAAGTCATTTGTAAGCCAAGAATATATGTTAATTAGTGAATCAGAATGTGTTCATTTTTTTATAGGCAGAATCCTATATACCAAAAGAATTTCAAGACTTTTGACATGGTTTTCCAAGTTTGGAAGGTGTTCTGCATCTTTATCGAAAACAACAAGTCTCTCTTTAAAAAAAATTTTTTTAAATGTTTATTCATATTTGAGACACAGAGAAAGACAGAGCGTGAGCAGGGGAGGGGCAGAGAGAGAGGGAGACACAGAATTTGAAGCAGGCTCCAGGCTCTGGCTGTCACAAGCCTGACTCAGGGCTCAAACCCTCGAACTGTGAGATCATGACCTGAGCCAAAGCCAGACGCTCAACCGACTGAGCCACCCAGGCACCCTCTAACAAGTCTTTCTTGATCAGACTATCCGATATGAATATCTCAGAAAGGAAATGGATTCACTTTTAAATTAAAGCTTTAAAGATACATTATTTTTCAATTATCAATTAATTCACAGAGAAATAAACTAGAATTTGATGGACAATGTATAAACTATATCCATAACCTCCCAGGTTTTCCCTTTGCTAAATTTAAAAATTACTGAATTAGACAATCTGGCAGCTAAAAGGTCAGACACAATAGGAAGACTGCGTGTAAAGCAAAGTCATGAATAGCCAATGTAATCACCTGAAGAATTCCCAAACCTCAACTCTTTATCCCCATGGACCACAGTATTGTTACATCTTCCTTAGGTGTGTATGTTTTATTTGAGGTCAGGTACAACAGAAAATCTACCAATCTACAATCATATTGCAAATCTCTGACAAGACCCAGATCTGAATCTATTGCATCTGAACTCATAGCTTTTTCTACCATATTTTGACGTCATTGTTCTCAGAAATATGAAGAAGCAATTTTGATTTTTCTACTCTGAATCAAACTTGGCCAACCCCCGTGTGAAATGACAAGAGTAGTGGACAGAAAAATCAGGAATCCTGGTATTTGATCCTGATTCAATAATCATAATTTTAGCCAAAATCATGCTGTTAATTTATTTGATATTTTACTTTAAGTGAACTTACATTTTAAAAAAATTAAACAACTTTATCTTTGCCCTAAATAATATCTGTGAAATTTGATGTTCGACACAATATTGATTTTTCTAATTTGTATAAAAATCCATACACGATAATGTATGCCCACTCATTTACCATCGAGTGATACATAAAACCACAGTTGGCAAAATATAAAAGTTGATTTTTTAGACCCTTCATAGCTCTACAACTCTAATATGCTAATTCAATTTCACAGTCTTGATATCACAAGAGCTAAGGTTTAAAATTATCATCTCATCAATTTCATAAGCAAAGTAATGAGCACTCCCCACCATTCCCCAGAATATCTTTTCCTCTATAGTCACAAAGTTGGCTACTTCCCTAATAACAGGATTCTCTTACTTTTACTTCAGGGTTTTTCCTTTAGATACAAAAACCATTTGGATTACTGAATTACTAACCAGAGTTAATCAAAACTATAACAACGCAAATCACTCAACGAAAGAAATATATGTGGTTTCACACTTTAATGAAGATCCAACAACTAAAATGGATTTGTTTCTGTTGATTTTAAACAGTCAACCCTCTTTCTCCAACACTTCCTGTCCCCGACTCTTCAATTTTCATTTTCCATTAATCTGTAGAACTCTTTAAAAGGACACTGGAGCCTCCTTATGAGAACTGAGTTATGTTGAAAAAGCGCGACACAAAAACATAGAAGTGTCACCAACTGGTGAACACTATTTTGGTAAAAATAATTTCACTTCTATCACTGTTTTTCTGAGATACCTGAACCAGCCAGATGCCATCTTTTGTGTCTTCTACAAGCTCATAGAAGTGCATTTCACCACTGAAATTGGTACTAGAAACAGATTCAGATGCTTCTTCTTCCTTGAGTGCAGAGTAGAGTTCACCTTCCATCAAGTCACCTGAAGAAAGAAAAAAATAACACTAGTAAGATTTCAAAAATCCCACATTCCCAACTTCAATGATTAATTCCATTATACACTGTTTAAAAATCATGTCATAGTACTTCCATTTTACTCTACAGAAGAGTAGAACCTGAATATACCCATTTAAGATTCAGTGAGTATGTCATAAGAACCTACTATGTGTCAGACAACAGTGAACAGACAAAAATCCATCTTCTCATGGAACTCACATGCTAGTGAGGTCATCACATAATTTATTAGGAAATTACCTTATTTCCTGGTAAGCCCAAAAAGCCATCACAGTATTATTTAGTTTTGTGTGTGACATGTCCAGGCTTCACATAATTTTTAAACAGTATGATTTACATACTTCGGACTTATAAGATTTAGAAATGGGTTACAGAATTTGCCATCAACACCTGCTTAAAACCTGTAAGTCTTGAAGGTTAGATACAAAAGATTACCTGTAAGAAAAAAAAAAACCCTCCATATTCATACTCAAATTTTCAGTGTAAATTGAGAGCTTATGTGATCAAATAAAAAGGAAAGCACTAATGTCAAATTATTCTAATTTTGTCTTAAATGTGAAAACAAGCACTGTATCATGCTAGCAGCAAAATCATTTACAACAAATACTTAAATTATAAACTTAAACTGCTATACGACGACTTCTCTGCTATAAAATGTGTGATCTGAGTTATATTTTTGGAGGCTGTGTGTATTCTTGAAATGATATGTGTGTTCCTTGTACAAAGTGACAAGTATTTTTAGGCCCAAAGGAAGCAACACTCAATATAAGTTAAAAGAAAGAAGTGTCATTAAATTTTTTTTAGCATGAGAAATGAGTTGGTTGTGGCAGTGAAGATACTTCTCATTTCTAAACCTAGAAAATTCATTTATTAGAGATCTACCTTACTCCATTTCCCATTCCCCGCCCCCATTGTACAAGTAACTTACCATAAGCCAGACAGTAAACAAGAGGTAAGAAAAAAACCCAATTTTATGTTTTCTCTAGAAGAAAGCATCACGTTTACATGTAAATATTATGTTTATATCACTACCCCAGTAGTGAGATACAAGTTTGATAACCCTTAACCTGCAAATATGTGAGTGCTCACCTCCTCTGGAGTTAGTATTCTTGTCTATCACACTACATGGCTACAGGGTACTAAATAAGGTGGGGGCGGGGGGGAATGCCTTGTTAAAGACATAGCAGACAGATAGACTTGAAACAACAAAAAAGATAACCATCAGTTTCAACTGCTTCCTACAGTAACCCAGAATCCCCTTCTCTAGTTACAGTACATTCCCCTTCCAGGGCGTTTACCTAAACAAAGATATATTTTCTTGAGGGGTGAAAAAAATTAACTATATATCTTACTTAATCCTGCTCCAAACTAACAGTTACAGACAATGCATTTTTCCTTAAAATGTTAAATAAATATTCACTTAGCACTATTTCAGTTCTATTTCTCAGCCCATTTAAGTTGATGCAGCAGTGTCTGTAACTTCTAAACGGAAAAAGTTTACATACAAGGCATAAGGATTTTTTTTAAACCCTGACAACAATATAAACAAAACAAGGTCGGCATTCACAAAAAATACTTTATTTTCACCAAACTTCAAGTATGAAAGCCAATACTGCACAGTCAGTCCACTTTCTCGATATTTAAACTCATGATTTAAAAGTTAAATCTTAGCCCTAAATGCCTCTTTGATATTAAACATTCCAATGATATTTTCCCCTCCTGTTATTATACTATTATTAGTTATTATCGTGACAAATACTGCTAACTACAGACAACGTTTTGAGGTACTCCTCATATCCTTATGAATTTCGACTGACAAATAATGCTTTACAGTTTGTCTGTAACCAGTCTGTCTGACAGTCCCTAATTTTAAGAAAATGGTTTTTTTAGTAAACAATATTAAGAAGCTGTACTTAAATCTGTTATTTAAAAAAAAAAGAACTTAAAAGGACACAGCAACAACCCTACAAATAATTTCAGCTCCCTTCTCAAGACTGGGGTTTACTTTTTTTTTTTTTTTTTTTTTGCAGAAAACCTGGACAGCTCTCGGAGTCGTCTGCTTATCCCAGGTACTGCCTCATTCCGAGGGACCCACCAGGCACGAGGAAGTACAAGTCGCCCCCTCCACCCCGTGGAGGGGGACCCTACGGGAGCCCGATACTCGCCTGACTTTTCCACCAGCTCCCGGACATCCTTCTTCTCGGGCAGCCCCGAGTACCCCAGCCCCCGGCACTCCAGAATGGTCTTCAGCTTCTTGAAGCTCAGCGCCACCGGATCCACCAGCTGGGTGGCAAAGATGCCAGTTTCATACCACACAATGGCCTCAAAAAACCTGGCCAGGACGAACAGGACCAGAAAATAGAGGAGCAGGAAAAACAGTTTCAGCCACATCTTCCCCTGCGTCTTCTCTCTTCTCAGAGAGCTCAGGAGACGAAAAAGAGGGGCGCGGAGCGGGGAAGTGGGTGCTCACGCCCGCTGGGGCGCGGGCACTGTCCCAGCGTGGTCCGGCCTCGCCGCCCTCACTGTCGCGCCATCGCCGGCCGGGGGATAAGGGGTTAGGCTATTTGTGCGAAGGGGGGGCGGTGAGGAAAAGACGGGGAGAGGCAGAAGCGCAGAGCCTCGCGCGGGGCCTTCCCGTCGAGAGGCGAGAGAAATAAGGGGGGGGGGGGAACACTAAAAAAACCTCATCAAACACCGAAAGGAGCGGGGCGCGGGTGGGCCCTCAGGGAACAAAACGACGGACGTTTCCCTCCCGCGGGGGGCTCTGACCGAGGTGGTGGGGTCGGCCTTCCAGCACCGTAATCGCAAGGAGGAGGGAGGAGGCCCCTCAAAATCATTCAGCTCCACAAAGGAAGGCTGGGCGGGAGGCCAGGGCCGGAGGGGCGGCGGGCCGGGGAGGCGGTTGGGCCGGTGGGCGGCGGCTGGTCAGGAGGGCGCGGCGCTCGGCTCCGCCAGGCCCCGGGCCCAGCTCGGGGAGGAGCGGCCGCCGCAGCGCCGCGCCCGACGCCCAGGCCCCAGGCCCCGCCGGCCGCCCAGGCTCCGTGAGAGGCGCGGTGGGCACGGCGGCGGCGGCTCCAGGTTCGCTCGGGCCGGCGGGCGGCGCTTTTTAGGCGGGCGGGCACCGCGGTCCGTCCCGGGAGGGGGCGTCGCGGTCTCTGCAGAGATATATGGGGCCCGCGGGCCGACGGTCCTGGAGAAAACCAAAAATAGGCCCCAGACGGTTCCCTGAGCAGCTCTGGGGCGGCTTCCTGGCCACGCAGCGCCCGCCCCGCTCAGATGGGCGGCGCGGGTCTCAGCCGCCGTCCCTGACGCCCCCGCCACCTCACGAGGCCGCGGCACTCGCCTCGGGAGCGGAGGATCAGCTGGGGCCGCAGCCCGAGCAGAGACATAACAACTGACGTCGGCGGCGGGGCGGGGCCTCAGGTGGCGGGGCGGGGCCCCGATGGATCCGTCGCCAGGCCGGCTTGCGGGCCAAGTGGGTGTGGGGGGAGGGGGCGGCCACACCAGGGACCCGGAAAGCTTTTGCCCCCAACAATTACCTCCCCGGTGTCTTCTCCACTTTCCTTTTGTCCTGTAGATGTTCAGTAAATGATTTTGGCTAAGGATTGGACTTTGGGCTGTCAATTTGTGTATTTTTCGTACAAATAGGGCAGTTAATGATCCTCTTAAAATCAGTAAAACTAGAGGAGTACGTTTATGCAAGGCCCCGGTGAATTGGGAAAATCTGGGCACTGATGTTTGCGGTGGTAGAAGGTGAAACCCAGAAAACAATGATTTATATCTCTAGGGAGACAATGTACTTTGCGCACCTCTCATGTTGGAGGAGATTTGGCAGAAACGGGAGTTAGAACTAGGCCCGCTTGTCCCGCCTGTTGCAATTTTTCATCCCCACTCTTCAATGTGTTAAAAACCGGGTATTGAGGTGGGTACTGAGTTCCCAGGACAAAGGTTGCTGCTTAGTGTTGATATGTCCCTGTGCAAAGTTTACATGTCTTTTGTTACCCTCCCTGAGTGTGGCCACTACTAGCAAGAGGAATGTATATAAAATGAGTAATGTGGGTGACTATGCACTATCAGGTTCCGTATTTAACCTCCGTGGTTAATACTCTCTGTATCAAACTCTGTGCCAGTCTTGAGGGAGAAAGGAGTTGCATACTTAAAGCAACATGGCTGGCTTCTACCAGCTCCCTTGATTAGGAAGGGCAAGACCCAGCAAGAGAAACGTAAGCCATTGTGCACAGCTTTCAAATGTCCTGAACTAGGAGGGAAATGTTTTAGGAAGAATAGAGGTGTGATCCTCAATCATGAAGCAAATGAGGAATGGAGAGCAAAGAGTGGACTTTGAGAATGTAGCTTCAGAATGGCACCCCTTTAAAATAAAGCACACACTAAATTCTATTCCTGAAATCATTGTTACACTATATGTTAACTAACTTGTATTTAAATTTTTTAAAAAATATAAAAATGAAATAAAATGAAGTAAAGCACAGAAAGGCATTTCAGTGGCCAACTAGTGGAGGAAGATTTAGGAGGGAGTGGGCCCAGGGAGCAGGGAGAAAGAAGCAGAGGAGGAGGTGGAGGAATGTACAACCAGCCCTTGGCCTCTGCTCCTGTGTCTTAGCCAGCTTCAATGTGGCTTTGTTTCCATGGCTGGCAGATCAATGTGGGAGACTGCATTAAACAGTCCATTCTAACAAGCTTGTTTTTGGAATTTGGGGATCCTTAGGCATATCAAGGTGACCCGTTACTGGATGATAATGCTGTCCAAACCTGACATAAAGGTGAGCCTTCATCTTGAAGGACTGTACTTGCTCGTAAAGAGAGACTGACCCCAAATCAAATAACATAAAAGTGGGGAAATTTGGGCAGTTAGCTGAGGGTGAAACCAGCCAGGCCAAAGTTGCAAACTGGAAAAATACTGGTGTGTGGGAGAGACTCCAAAGAAGGAACTAAAGAACTCTTTTGGCATTTCTTGTTCGTTTCAACTGCTTCCCATCTCAACTCCCTTGACTGTTCCCTCCTGGTTAAACTCTTAGAGAAGGTAACAGCACTGATCAAAGAACACACAGAGTTGGGATACAGTGGTACAGGCATTTGCATCTGTTATCGATAAGAGGTACAACCTTTCAGGAAGGCATTTATAATGAATTAGAAGGCTCCTTGAAATACATGCTCTTTGGCCTAGTAACCTCATTTCAGGGAAGTTATCTTGAGGAAATAATTGGACATGTGCACATAGATGTGTGTGCAGAGTTTTGCTGTTGCTGTAGAAAAATAATAATGGAATAAAAATAGTGAGAAATAATAGAAAAAACAATATTACTAATCATTAATAATAAAAAAAAGAGAAAGAATGAGCACCCAAATATCTAGCAACAGAAGATTGGTCAAGTCCAATAATCTAAATGGTGAACTCTGAGGCAGCTACTAAAAGAACCGTATTAGACAACTGGTTACAGGCATGAAACTATGTCCAAAAGAGCGTCCAGGGGAGAAAAGCAGGTTACTGAGAAGTTTGCATCATATGATCCTATTTTTTGTATTAGTGTTAGAAAAAGGCAGAGAGATATATACACTACAATATAAATCGTATTTTAGGGGATGGGATTTAGATAGTTGAAATGTTTTTCTTCTGTGTTTAATCTCTATTTGATTACTTTTCTGAAACAATCATGCACTGTTTTTGTCATTTTAAGATTTGTTTTAAAAACTCTAAACAACCACTAGGACTGCTTCCTTGGTCTGGAGGTTTGCAGCAGGGATTCACCCTCTGGGACTCCAAGGCAGGTGTGGGCTGTCCTTCCCTGAGGGTGATTTCAACTTCCACTATGCCTAACTGGGTGGACTAATTACAATTTCTGTTCAAAGACCAGTCTGACAAAGGGATGTTTGAATTATTCATTGGTTTTCATCATCTGTTTCTCTAACAGCCAGGCTATTAACCTGGGTTCTTGATTTTACTTCTCGGGTTCTGTTTATTGGTGGGATGACTTAAATCCTTATTGTTCGATTGTGGCAAGAGCACAGGAAGCATCATTCGTGGTCCTGGTCCAGCATGGCCTCGTATTCTCTAGCTGTATCACCTTGTTAGAAAGTCACAAGATCTGTCTAAATCTCATTTTTATCGTCTATAAAATGGGATAGTATGTTTACCCCATGAAGCAGTTGTAAGGACTAAATGTAAAAAGTGCTTTGAAACAGACATATTGCTTGTATATATGTATGCATGCATGTATTTTGTATGCATGGATTTTGTATTCATTCCTTTATTTAAGCATTATTTATGAGCAAGTCACTGAGTTTATTACTGAGAAATGTACATGGATGAAGTCAAACAAGACCTTACTGCCAGGTTATTTGAAATCTAGTAGGGAAACTTCCCAAAACTGAATATTTTTTAAAAGTTAAAAAGAATGTAGGCCTCTTGTAGACTTAATAGCACAAATACAAGAAAAATACAGATATAGTTCTCTAAAGCAATATAAGGTACAGACTCTGTTCAGAATACAAATGAAAAGAAAGAAAAGAAAGAAAAGCTAGTTCCTGCTTTTAAGGGTTTCAATTTGTTATATTTCAACAATTTTTCTTTTATAACTTTCATTTATCTTTTAAAAATTTTATTTGAGCATAGGTGACACACAATGTTACATTAGTTTGAGGTATTCAACATAGTAATTCAACTTCTCTATATGTTATGCTATACTCACCACAAGTGTAACTACCATTGGTCACCATACAACATTTTTATAATATCACTGACTATATTCCCCATACTGTGCCTTTTATTCTCGTGACTTCATTTGATAACTGAAAACCTGCTTGTATTTAACTTAAAGAATTTTAGAGAAAAGAAAATGAAAGTCTTTGGGTCAGCTAGATGAACTATGGTTATTTTATTTAGGATCCAAAGAGTTCTCTCTTATTATTTTATTTTTAGCAAAGTATTACCTATACATAGTTTAAAAAGTCAAGTAGCAACAACAAAACTCAAGTAACACTTTAAGGTTTCATCCAAATTGGGACAATTTTGAGAGTGAAAGGGACAAAGGTAATAAAATTATGCGTGACTAACAAGGATAAACTGGGACTATCCCAGACAAACTGAAAAACAGATCCTCTGCCCATCCCTACCCACTCCAAAAAACCTACCATTTCTCAGAGAAAAAACTATCTTCAATTCTTTGAAGCATGTTTCTCATGTTTTTCTCTGTGTTTCCAAATTAGAGGTTCCTATTGCATTTCTTGATCCTTTCATTTTATACATTATCTATTGATTTCTTGCTACAGAAAATGAAGAATGATCTCTTTTATGCCCTCCAATCACACATCATTTCCCTCCCTCATTCCCAAAGTGATTATACTATATATTCATTTCTATATTAATGTGACCATATAAATCTTGTTGATGGCTGAACCACATCATTTATATTTCCTTTCTTGTGCAATTGTTCATTTTCCCTGGAGTTAATAATTAACTCAGATTTTGGGTTGTTCTATCTTCTATGGCCCTATCTGCTTATTCATCCCCAAATTCTCTGTCTGAGCTATAAAACCACTCAAATGATTAATGTATCAATTCCATGTTTTATTGGAAGTACATCTTCTATCCTGGCTTTCCTGCTCTAGGCTAGACTGGCTCTTCTCCAGAACACTACTCAGCTGGCATCCCAGGACTTCCCTTCGCTCCTATGTTGGATTCTGTTTTCTTGATCTCATGGTTGCATGTTTGTTCTTTCACTTCCTTGTTTGCATGGAATACATCTCTTCCTGCAATGACATTTAAAAAGTGGACACCGAGGTAAACTTTGGAGACCTTACACATCTAAAATTCCTTTACTCTCTCTTCTTTTCTTTTTTTCAAACTTAAAGAAGACTTGCAAGAACATTACCAAAACCCCCTTTGTACCCTTCACCACTTCACTGATTCATGTTTTTGCAATAGGTGCTTTACATGTCTTTTCTCTGTACTGTATACGCATTTTTTTTCCCTTGAACCATTTAAGAATTAATTGTAGTTACCCTTCATGTTTAAATGATAGTTTGGTCAAATATAGAATTCTAAATTGGAAATCCCTTCCCCTCAGAATTTTGAAGGTGTGGATCTATTACCTTCTGGTGTCTGTTTTGACTTATTTGTTCTCTCTGTAGGCTCTCAATTCTTCTTTTCCTCCTTGGTATTCTGAACTTTTATGATGATGTGCCTGAGTGCACGTTTCCTTTTCTTCATTGTGTTGAGGGCCCAGTGGGCCTTTTTAATGTGGCAGCTCATGGCTTTCAGTTCTAGAAGATTCTTTGATAATTTCCCTGTCCATTTCTCACTTTACTGGAACTCCTGTTAATGAGATGTTGAAACTCCTAAATTGATTCTATAATTGTAT